GTCCATTTTATTTTGGTATACCTTTTCTAGGTACGTTAGCCTGTGACCACGGAAATTGACCGAGTCAAGTGCTGGATTAGTACGGAGAGATTGAGACAGAAGGAGGTACTGGATAGAGAGACCGGGATGGTTTTTAATGTGAAGACAACAACAACAACACACCTTTTTTCACACGCACATGATGTCCTATGTGCATAAATACGTACAGCACGCACATACATAGATATGATAGCTGAGGCTTTTCATCATGGAGGTTGTTGTTGTTGTTGTTTCTCACATTAGCTCTAAAAAGGAAAGATTGGGAGCCCGTGGTCTCAAAACCCGGCATACACGACCCCACGAAGAAACAGAAAAAAATAGGGTACAAAAAGAGGTGTGATGGGTTCGGACAAGGGCAAGAAAAGAGGGCACTTCAAAGTTTCCTCTCCGAGTAAAGAAAAAAATGTTGCTGATCTGCTGTCTTGAAGTCACAGCTAAGTTACTGGTCCTCACATCTTAACGCTGCGTTTGCTTCGCTTGTGCCACGACAAATAGCGAAGGAAAGGAAAAGGTATGAGGTATTGGAGACCGTTGTATTTTCTCTGCATCTATGTAAGCATGTTATCTACAACTTCGAGAGAGATGAGGACCACGGCCGAGTTATTGAGGTCCCGCCGCTCATCAGCATCTCGATAGATACACCGTATTGACATAATATAACACACCCCCTGGACCGATTTTCAAAGCTCGATTGCTCCACAACGAGGATGATGCACATACGAAATGATACATTTTCGAAAATCTCTCGGTAAGACGGTTTCAACGCCGCCGTTTTCGGCGCTGTGACTGTTCCTGCAGTTGAGAAATCGAGCTTCGAAAATCGGTCAAGGGGGTCTGTTATCTTGTGTCATATACGGTACTCAATAGATACAGAAACGGTTGAGAGAGGGCACGCAGCACACGTGCGTTTTTGCGCGCGCACAAACCTCAGCACCTCAGCGAAGAAACCGGTTGCCATTTGCTGCACTCGACGATCCCCTCGACAGCGGACAAGGTATGACGCGTGCCGAGGCCCGTATGTGCGTGTGTCCGTGTTGTGTGGCCATGAACGCTCTCGATTGTTGTTTGGTACGGTGGACACGGGTGAGCAGGGGGAGGGGGGCAGAGTTGCGGCGGAATCGCCACAACCAAATAAAATGTCTAAACCCGCCCCTAAGGTCGAC